TCCTCAATTTTATTTATTACTTTTAAGAAGTTTTTTCTAAAGTTATTTATATTTAACATTGGACAAGAGAGGGTTTGAATAATTAAGGGTTGATACATTGAGTCTTATATAAGAGTGGAAAGGTGGTGAATAGTGAGTGTTTGGTGAGAGGTAGATGGGTGATTGGGTTGATTAGCAGGTGATGGGGGGGTGGAGTGTGTGTCTTTTTATTACTGTTATGAATTTAAATTACTGTACTATATGAAATATTTGCTAAATATTGTACGTATATTGTTTGTCCTTACAGCATTTTTTTGGCCGCAAGCAGAACTGCTATTCCATTGCCATTAAATACGTCCACCGAGCTTTACGCTATGGAGTTAGAGCACGTAAAATAAAGAAATATGAAAATAGGAAGGTAAGTTGGAGCATTTAGTAGAGTTTACGCAGTGCTGCTTATAGCAAACACCATGATAAAGAATCATTTTAGTAATGTAGTTAAAAATTAAATTCCTTTTTCCTGTAATAAATGCATGACTATTTTTCTGTAAATGTACCAGGTACCTGTCACACTTTTCTGTGATATTTTGTTGTGTATTGATAAGCAGTCTAATATTTGTTGCAGTTTTATTAACATTATACTTTATACATGTAATTATTTTGCTATAAAGTACATGTATTTGCTTCTATTGTCTATTAACTGATGTTTGTGATTTACTATTAAATGTTAGTACCTCAGACTAATAATTTTTCTACTTTATTAATTTGTTAATATTTTTGCCTTTATATTAACATCTTTGTGATTAATTATACACCAACAGAGTATGTAAATGAGGGTTACTGTTTGAACTTGTAAAAGTATGGTACTAAATTTTGGTAGTTTTAATTCTTCCATCATTCTCAGATCCTCAGGTTCCTGCTCTGATCAGTGTTATTCCTCAGATGTCTTATAGGCATCAGTAGCTCCAAATTGGACCATATATGTTTAGCATTTTTTTGTGTATATAATATATAATGATTCTCAGCATCAATAACAAGATAGGTCATGGTAGAGATGTGCCGCTTCAGGTATCATTGACCACTTGGTTTCACCAGGGTTTATCCTCTAAAAGCCTCCCTTCCAGTTCTCTGGCAAAATCCTTGATGAGATTGAGGGGAAAACTACTTGTTTTACTAGTGAATGAACTTACTGGTACTCTGGAATCATTAGTCTTCTACTGCTAAGTTGTATCTGTCTACTGTTGCTGCTACCTTCCATGACTTGCTCTCACCAGTGTCACAGTGTTCTACCTCCTCCTCTATGTTTGTCCAACATGTACCTGTAATGCAGATTCTTCCCACAGATATGTCTTCCCACAGACACATCTTCCCACAGACACGTCTTCCCACAGACACGTCTTCCCACAGACACGTCTTCCCACAGACACGTCTTCCCACAGACACGTCTTCCCACAGACACGTCTTCCCACAGACACGTCTTCCCACAGACACGTCTTCCCACAGACACGTCTTCCCACAGACACGTCTTCCCACAGACACGTCTTCCCACAGACACGTCTTCCCACAGACACGTCTTCCCACAGACACGTCTTCCCACAGACACGTCTTCCCACAGACACGTCTTCCCACAGACACGTCTTCCCACAGACACGTCTTCCCACAGACACGTCTTCCCACAGACACGTCTTCCCACAGACACGTCTTCCCACAGACACGTCTTCCCACAGACACGTCTTCCCACAGACACGTCTTCCCACAGACACGTCTTCCCACAGACACGTCTTCCCACAGACACGTCTTCCCACAGATGTGTCTTCCCATGGATATATCTTCCCAGTGTGTGTTTTTTCATGTATGTATGTTTGTATTTATGTATGTGTATCTGTGTATACAAATTAGGAGGGGAAGGGTACTCCAGCTATTTGGACTTGACTTTCAAACCTGACTTGAAGTAAATTTGTAGGAAGTACATTAATTTCTGGCTTGTTTGAATCCCTGGTGAGTTTGTCATGCTTCCTGTATTGTTTCCAACTTCCAAGTCCATTCTTTGTTTTCCATATTTCTCCAGCACCTTCCAAATTGTGCTCCATTCTTTCAACTTCTCCTCATTCCTCTGAGGAAAGATTGTTGTATAATATTCACATCCCATATTGCTCTCAAGCATTGACATCTCCACTTCCTGTAGCCTCCTCCTTGCTGCAACGTTTGAAGCCCATGTCTCACACCTATATAAAAGTGTTGGTACCGCTATACTTTGGTTCAGTCCCCTTTTTCCCTCAGTATATAAATTGCTTTCTTTCCATAGATACCTTAACATACCACCTACCCTTTTACCTTGTCTATTATTTGATTCACCTAATCTTTCATTGACTTTCTCCATACTCCCTCCCTCCAATCTGATATTGTCTTTCAGTGCCTAGACTTTTTGTTACTCACATCACCTTGCTCTTTTTATGTTCACTTTTAATTACCTTCATTTACATATCACCCTAAACTTAACTAACCTTTACAACTTCTCTTCAGAATTTTTTAGAAGAATTGTGTTATCAGCAAGGGCCAACTGTGATAACTCTAGCTTTGTATCAGTTTCTTTGTCTTTTAATCCTGTGCCTCTCTTCATGCCTTTTGCATTCACTTATTTTACAACCCTATCTACAATTTTGCTTTTGAACAAACTGGCCATATCCCACCAAGGCAGGGTGACTAAAAAGAAAAACAAAAGTTTCTCTTTTTAAATTTAGTAATGTATACAGGAGAAGGGGTTACTAGACCCTTGCTCCTCCATCTACCAATACCTGTGTTAAATAACTATTACGGATCACTTTCTGATGTCTACTTTTACATTAAAAAGTCTCCCTTTCTGCATATCCTAACTTAAGCTTCATTGTCTGAATAAAAACTCTACTTCTTTAAGTAACCTACTACCTATGCCTGGCATTGTGCCTTTTTTTTGTTCTTTAGGCACCCCTGTGATATGCCTTTTCTAAATTCATCAAGATAAACCATTCCTCACCCTTATCTAAGTTCTATATTTTTGTTGAAGTTGTTAATTTTTTTTATTGTTGCTCACACACAGACATTCCACAGCATTAAGACATTTGTTTACAATGAACCATTTCATGTATGACTAATGGTGGTGATGTATAACTGATTTAGAAAGCTTTAACAGGTAAAAGAAAGTCATGTTGATCATAAATAAATGGTCATGACAGGTACAGTACTCCATTCACAAGATATTTGTTTTTTTCTATTTAATATTAGTTGTGGGATACACGACTTACTGCTGGGTGTTTGGAGCTGGGCACTAACTACACGAATATGAAGTCAGTTATGGATGATGTAGGTATTGCTATTGATCGCAAGACCCTGCAAAATATGGCAATATGGGAACCCCGTTCATTTAGGGTAAGTAAATATTATATGCAGTGTATTAAAGTTCATTACCTAAAATAGGAAAACCCCTTTATGTTCTATGTCATGGAAAGAATTGTAATGTCTCTTTATTTTTTTTACAGTGTTATTTCAAGCAAGTGTTCTTCATTTAGGTTTGTATTACAATATTAGGATGTCTTGAAATACAGCCTCGCCTCACTTACCGAGGGAGTTCCGTTCCTAAGACCACATCAGTAACGAATTTGTCAGCAATCAGGGAATCACCCCTTACTGATACAGTGGAACCTTGGCTTACGAATTTAATCCGTTCTGTGACCTTGTTCGTATCCTGATTTGTTCATATGCTGTGTCAATTTTCCTTATTTAAATTAATTGAAAAGCTATTAATCCATTCCAGGGGAATCCCTGCTCTCAGGAGGCACAACAAAATACACTTCAATATGACATGAATATCAACTCTACAGCTTATTTATCTATCACAGTTCATCTAATATGACATAATAAACAATATAAATAACATAGAAACATGATATATACTACTCTAGAATGAATAAAATAGGCTATAATATGGTGAGTGATAGTGGCAGTGGCAGCATCTGCCATTTACTCTCCCCCTGACTATAGTACGTATAAGTAAGTTTATTCAGGTATACACAAATACAGTTACTACATAGATTATCATACATAGCAGCATATGTGTACAGAACCTGGGATAACCCAAAAAAGTCAGACAGAGTGACTTATTTCCATTGGGGTTCTTTTAATACCTTATTATTATACAATGTAGGAGATATCTTATTATTGTACTCTAAAGGATATATACTAGGAATAAGGTAAACAGAGTTACATACATTTACATGTGTTAACTAAAAAAAAAATAAAAAATCGTTCTCCTCCCGTTCTGTCGCTACATACATTAGGTACCTTTTGGCTCTCTTCTTGAACTGGTTCATGCTGTGACTAGCTTTGACATGTACAGGCAATCTGTTCCATTCATTTATTGCTGTACAGTAAAAGGTATTTGAAGCCTGGCCACTGACTGTGGGTACTACAAAGTTGTGCTCTCTCCCTCTCGTACTATGATTGCTTCGGTTCCCAGCCTTGACAGAATTAGTAGCAAGATATTCTGGACACCGTTTGTGAGCAATTTTATAAACTTGATTTAACTTCAGTTTTTTACTCTGTCTTCACCATTCAGCATATCCATTTGTTGTAATTCATCCTGGTCTGCATGTTCTCTTGGACCCTGGTCCAGGATGAATCTTGATCTTCCCATGCTCTTATTATAAGAGAAAATGGATTGTTTGTGAGGCTAACTGCACTAGATCACATTTTCATAAGGAAAATGCTGAAACAATGTACATACAGTGGTCCCTCGATTATCGTAGTTCTCGAGAATCGTAAATTTCGGAAATCATGGGATATTTTCATATAAACATGGGCTCGCTAATCGTAGATTGACTCGCAAATAGTGTTCGTCTGGACAGGTACACACAGCCCCGACCGCCTCACACTCCTTTCCCAGCCAGTGTGCCATTGTTTATCAGTGAGTAAAGGTATCCCACGAGTTCTCAAATTTCAAATATTCCATTCGTTTTAGTGTTTGCAACGCTAAAAAGTCACCAGGGCCCCAAAGGGAAACTTCTAATGCCAGCCTTTGGGTAAAGAATGTGAAAAACCACATAATTTAAGAAAAATTTGTAAAAAAATATAAAAGGGGTGGGTAAGTGAAGCGTTGTGATAGTTAAATAAAAGGACACAATTTCAACAATTTCATTTTTTTGGGCAATGTTTCGCTCTCCAGGAGCTTTATAAACCCATTAAAAACATACATGGACCGGGGTAATAAAGGCTCAATGATGCAAACTAGTGAGGAAACCTTTTCGATTTTCACTAGGGGGTAGTAGTAGTATTGAGTGTATATGCAAAGTAATACAAAGGTAGAGCAATTAATTCGTACATGGAAAAAGGGGGTGACACCCGCCTCAAAACACATTTACGCTTGGGAAATAATTTGAACAATCCTGGAAAACACCAAATTTCCCCCACATCTCATAAAAATCAGACCCCAATTATGACAAAAAAACTAATTTCCGCAACGCAAGTCCTCGAATCACACTGATCGCTGTTTCAAATAAAAATTAAACAAAAACCAGTTTAAACCATCTCCAAGTTTTAGCAAGAACCCTTTTTGAAAACATAAACCCTCCATCACATATTCCCTTTATTACACAAAGCCATTAGGGAGTTAAACACTAAACAAGCTGCCTCTTCCATTTTATTTTTGTCCAACCAAATTTTATGTTCCAATTCAAATACTTTTACCCTTTTACTCGGAGAAAAATTTACTCTACCATTTTGAAATTACTTTTGTCAATACTACAACTACACACTACCACCACTAGGAACATCGAAATGGTCCTCACTAGTTTTGCCCCTCACCTACCTTTATATCCCCTTTGTGTCCTGTATTTTTGTAATGGCTTATAAAGCTCCTGGAGCGAAACGTTGCCACAATAAAATGTCACTTTATAGATAAGGGTTCAGAGAACCGACATGTTGAAAATTTAGCACTGCAACTCTGGGTACCTTTATTGAGAAATTTTTTCCCACACAGGGGCTTCACATCCATAAAAAGGGAAATCTTAAAAGAACAGAAGAATGAGAAAAAATCCCCAACCTTGACGATTGGACCATCAATTTTGAATAAAACTATTCTATTCAAATTGATGGACTAAACACATCGACCAAGGTTGGGGACTGTTTTCCCTCTTTCTCCTCCTGTTTTAATTTTCTCCTACGTATTGACTGTTTAAGCCACTGGTGGTGAAACGTTTCCTAATAAATCCCCAAAGAGTTCACATTTCTGTTTTATCAACAGTCATTTTCTGAACCTTCATCTACAAACCTTCAGACCTCAACTTTTTGGGATCTTATATTTGGGGTTTTCTTCGCTTGCCCAAACCCTTGGGCCGACCTACTCCCCATTGGGCAAATGTGACACCCCCATGCTGCTGCCCCTCCACCTACGTTTTATAAGCCCTTCTCCGCCATATGCCGATTCTACCAAGTTTGATGGCGACCCCACGCTAAAGGGTTGGGGGACTGATTACCCATTCTCCCCATTCTCAAGCTTCTCCTTGTAGGGACTGTAAGCCACTGGTTCGAAACGTTTTTTAAATAAAATACCCAAAGTTGCACATGTGTCTTTTTTTAAAACGGAGGGTTCTTAAACCCTTTCACTAAAATTCCCTCTGATGTTCCTAATGAGTCTAATCCATCCTTATAAGGGAAAAAAAACGGGCACAAATCAAATGGGGGCCTCACTTGATTTTAAGACTGCAAAAAAACTTCTGGACTTCTGTTACTTATACTTCTTAAAAAATCCAAGTAATCTTTGGGCCTTTGTGCGCACAAAAAAACTGCTTTTTGGCTTTAGATTCGCTTACCATACCCCAATTTTTTTTCACTTTCTGTAGTCAACCTACTTCCCCTAATTATATTTCGGGGGTTTTTTCATTATAAAGGGGAAAGTCCCTTTTAACTTATCCACATTAAACTCATCTGCATTTTTCAGACCAAGACATTAATTTTCCAAATCGTCCGGGATTCATTGATACCCCTCAGAGTATTATACCCATCTTGATCTACCAAACTTACTCATGCACTCGTAATCCCTTCATAAAGGGTCAAAATTTAAAATTTAATGAAAAGAGAGGGCCAAAAACTGATCCTTGTGGAATGCCACTGTGACTAATCCCCATTCGATTTCACCCCAAAAGGGGAACCTCTGTTTTCTATTGGTAACCCACCCTCAATCCATGCAAAACTTTACCCCTATACCATGAGCTCCCTTTTTTTAAAGAGTCTCTTGTGGGGACTCTACAAAGGGCTTTACAAAAATCCAAAAAAACAATATCATTTCCCTTACACTGTCAACTGCCTCAAATTTCTATTAAGAACGTCATAATTTGTCAGCAGAACACCTCTCTGAATCCATGCTAGATTCATTTATCAAGTTATCCTTCAAGGTCTTCGTAATGTCACTATATTTGATTCTAAAAATTTCCCCACTATAGATTGGCTTATTGAGGGAAATTTAAAGGGATGACTTATCCCTGATTTGAATATAGGAACCACATTCCATCTCCACAACTCGGGCACAACCCGGAAGGATGACGCTTTGAATCATCGTTAAGGGCTGACAAAGCCCATCTTGCATTCCTTAAGACCCTGGAAAACAGCTCACCCGGGTCCCGGGGATTTATTTTGCTTCATTGTCTATCTTTTAAAACCATGCCCTCGGACGTAATATATTAACTTAAATTCATCGGAAACTAAAAAATTGTTAATTACTGGAATCTCTTTACACTTCCTGTGTAAAAACTGACAAAAAAAAAGTCATTAAAAAAGAACACATTTCCATTCCTTTTCCGTCACTGCCATTCCCAAATTTTTAGAGTCCTACTTTTTCCTTCACCTTTGCCCATACACTTTAAAGAACCCCTTTGGGTTAGTCCCTTTTATTTTTACAACTTTAATTTTATATCACGTTAGCCCCTTTTAATCCCCCTTTTTTCTTCTCTTTAAACTAACATATTGGTCATAAAGGGTTTAACCCCCCTCTTTTGATGCCCATAAATTCCCCTTTCCCCCCTAAAAAATGCTTAGCTTCCCTTTAAACCCCTTTGGGGTCATTTTTATTAACCTAAATCTCTCGGGAATGGGATATACTCTGGGGACGGTACATTTTAAGAAAACAATCATAAAACGATCCCTTTATAATCATAAGTATGATCACGTCAAAAAACAATTTAGCTAATAACCCAATCAAGATTTAAAAGGGTTCCCTAATCCATTAAATTGGCAAACGAAAATCAGGGATTTTACTGTATTACTTATTCTTGCATCCCCGTTAATGCTAAAAGTGATTGATTTTTTGTCACTTGCCCAAGCTCTTCATGATCTCCAGAATTCACGAGGTTTCCCTATTTTCAAACTAGGGCTAGCAAATATTCCCTGTAGGCTCTTTTTACGCCGCTTCAGAAAACAGTCCTAACTGTTTCCCAAAAGTC